GAATACTCATTAACAAGCTGCAGTATGCTGACAACACAACTTTGCTTGCTGAAAGTGAGGATGACTTGAAGCACTTACTGATGAAGATTAAAGACTACAGTCTGCAATATGGGTTCCATCTCAATATAAAGAAAACAAAAATCCTCACAACTGGACCTATAAGCAGCATCATGATAAATGGAGAAAAGATTGAGGTTGTCAAAGACTTCACATTGCTTGGCTCTACAATTGATGCCAATGGAAGCAGCAGTCATGACATCAGACAACGTATAACACTGGGCAAGTCGGCTGCAAAGGACTTCTTTCAAGTGCTGAGGAGCAAAGATGTCTCTTTGAGGACTAGGGTGCACCTGACACAAGCCATGATACTTTCAGTCCCCTCATATGCATGTAGGAGCTCTGGTGCATAGTGCCTAAGGCATTTGACTGCTAACCAGAAGGCTGGCAGTTCAAACCCACCAGCCACTCCTTGGAAGGAAGGTTGGGCAATCTACTTCCGTAGTGATAGCCCCAGGAAACCCATGGAGGGGTTACTATGAGTCGGAGCCAACTCCACGGCAGTAGTTGCAGTTTTATGTTTGGTTGCATATGTGTGTGAGAGCTAGACATTGAACAAGGAAGACCAAAGAGTCATCAAGATTCTTGCGTTCTGGTATTGGTGAAGAATGCTGAAAGTACCCTGGACTGCTAAAAGAACTAACAAATCTGTCCTAGAAGAAGTGCAGCCAGAAAGCTCCTTGGAAGTGAGAATGGCCAGACTCCATCTCACCTACTTTGGTCATGTTGTTGGAAGGGACCATTCCCTGGAGAAGGATATGCTTGGTAATGTGGAGGGTCAACAAAAGAAGGGAAGGCCCTCAATGAGATCGATTGACACAGTGGCTACAAAAATGGTCTCAGGTATAGCAAGAATCATGGAGCTGGCGCAAGACTGAACAGTGTTTAATTATGCTGTACGTAAGGTTGCTTTGAATTAGAGACAACTCAATGGCACCTAACAACAGCAACAAGGTTTATACTAACGGATGGAAAACACCAAGACAGACAGACACATGCACAACAGCACTCACTGCAGCACGGTTCACAGGACACACGGGTACACCAGCACCCAGTGCAGTGCGGTTCACAGTGCACACACGGACAGCAGTGATCACCACGGGATTCACAGGACACACGGGTACACCAGCACCCAGTGCAGTGCGGTTCACAGTGCACACACGGACAGCAGTGATCACTGCAGCACGGTTCACAGGACACACGGGTACACCAGCACCCAGTGCAGTGCGGTTCACAGTGCACACACGGACAGCAGTGATCACTGCGGGATTCACAGGACACAC